GTTTTGGTATCAGGATGATATTGGCCTCATAAAATGAGTTAGGGAGGATTCCTTCTTTTTCTATTGATTGGAATAGTTTCAGAAGGAATGGTACCAGCTCCTTCTTGTACCTCTGGTAGAATTCGGCTGTGAATCCGTCTGGTCCTGGACTTTTTTTGGTTGATAGGCTATTAATTATTGCCTCAATTTCAGAGCCTGCTATTGGTCTATTCAGGGATTCAACTTCTTCCTGGTTTAGTCTTGGGAGTGTGTAAGTGTCCAGGAAATTATCCAGTTCTTCTAGTTAATTTGCATAGAGGTGTTTATAGTATTCTCTGATGGTAGTTTGTATTTCTGTGGGGTCGGTGATATCCCCTTTATCATTTTTTATTGCATCTATTTGATCTTCTCTCTTTTCTTCTTTATTAGTCTTGCTAGCGGTCTATCAATTTTGCTGATCTTTTCAAAAAACCAGCTCCTAGATTCATTGATGTTTTGGAGGGGTTTTTGTGTCTCTGTCTCCTTCAGTTCTGCTCTGATCTTAGTTATTTCTTGCCTTCTGCTAGCTTTTGAATGTGTTTGCTCTTGCTTCTCTAGTTCTTTTAATTGTGATGTTAGGGTGTCAATTTTAGATCTTTCCTGCTTTCTCTTGTGGGCATTTAGTGCTGTAAATTTCCCTCTACACACTGCCTTAAATGTGTCCCAGAGATTCTGGTATGTTGTATCTTTGTTCTCGTTGGTTTCAAAGAACGTGTTTATTTCTGCCTTCATTTCGTTATGTACCCAGTAGTTATTCAGGAGCAGGTTGTTCAGTTTCCATGTAGTTGAGCGGTTTTGATTGAGTTTCTTAGTCCTGAGTTCTAGTTTGATTGCACTGTGGTCTGAGAGACAGTTTGTTATAATTTCTGTTCTTATACATTTGCTGAGGAGTGCTTTACTTCCAACTATGTGGTCAATTTTGGAACAAGTGCGATGTGGTGCTGAGAAGAATGTATATTCTGTTGATTTGGGGTGGAGAGTTCTGTAGATGTCTATTAGGTCTGCTTGGTGCAGAGATGAGTTCAATTCCTGGATATCCTTGTTAACTTTCTGTCTCGTTGATCTGTCTAATGTTGACAGTGGGGTATTAAAGTCTCCCATTATTATTGTGTGGGAGTCTAAGTCTCTTTGTAAGTCTCTAAGGACTTGCTTTATGAATCTGGGTGCTCCTGTATTGGGTGCATATATATTTAGGATAATTAGCTCTTCCTGATGACTTGATCCCTTTACCATTATGTAATGGCCTTCTTTGTCTCTTTTGATCTTTGATGGTTTAAAGTCTGTTTTATCAGAGACTAGGATTGCAACCCCTGCTTTTTTTTGTTTTCCATTTGCTTGATAGATCTTCCTCCATTGCTTTATTTTGAGCCTATGTGTGTCTCTGCATGTGAGATGGGTCTCCTGAATACAGCAAACTGATGGGTCTTGACTCTATCCAATTTACCAGTCTGTGTCTTTTAATTGGACCATTTAGTCCATTTACATTTAAGGTTAATATTGTTATGTGTAAACTTGATCCTGTCATTATGCTATTAGCTGGTTATTTTGCTCGTTAGTTGATGCAGTTTCTTCCTAGCATTGATGGTCTTTACATTTTGGCATGTTTTTGCGATGGCTGATACTGGTGTTCCTTTCCATGTTTAGTGCTTCCTTCAGGATCTCTTGTAGGGCAGGCCTGGTGGTGACAAAATCTCTAAGCATTTACTTGTCTGTAAAGGATTTTATTTCTCCTTCACTTATGAAACTTAATTTGGCTGGATATGAAATTCTGGGTTGAAAATTCTTTTCTTTAAGAAAGTTGAATATTGGCCCCCACTCTCTTCTGGCTTGTAGAGTTTTTGTCAAGAGATCTGCTGTTATTCTGATGGGCTTCCCTTTGTGGGTAACCCAACCTTTCTCTCTGGCTGCCCTTAACATTTTTTTCTTCATTTCAACTTTGGTGAATCTGACAATTATGTGTCTTGTAGTTGCTCTTCTTGAGGAGTGTCTTTGTGGTGTTCTCTGTATTTCCTGAATTTGAATGTTGGCCTGCCTTACTAGGTTGTGGACGTTCTCCTGGATGATATCTTGCAGAGTGTTTTCCAGCTTGGTTCCATTTTCCCCGTCACTTTTAGGCACACCAATCAGACATAGATTTGGTCGTTTCACATAATCCCATATGTCTTGGAGGCTTTGTTCATTTCTTTTTACTCTTTTTTCTCTACACTTCTCTTCTCGCTTCATTTCATTCATTTGATCTTCAATCACTGATTATCTTTCTTCCAGTTGATTGACTTGGTTACTGAAGCTTGTGCATTTGTCACGTAGTTCTTGTGTCATGTTTTTCATCTCTGTCAGTCATTTTATGGTCTTCTCTGCATTGATTATTCTAGTTATCCATTCATCCATTCTGTTTTCAAGATTTTTAGTTTCTTTGCGCTGGGTATGTCGTTCCTCCTATAGCTCTGAGAAGTTTGATCGACTGAAGCCTTCTTCTCTCAACTCGTCAAAATCATTCTCCGTCCAGCTTTGTTCGGTTGCTGGTGATGAGCTGCGTTCCTTTGGAGGGGGAAATGTGCTCTGATTTTTTGAATATCCAGCTTTTCTGCACTGCTTTTTCCCCATCTTTGTGGTTTTCTCTGCCTTTGATCTTTGATGATGGTGACGTACTGATGGGGTTTTGGTGCGGGTGTCCTGTTTGTTAGTTTTCCTTCTAACAGTCAGGACCCTCAGCTGCAGGTCTGTTGGAGTTTGCTTGAGGTCCACTCCAGACCCTGTTTGCCTGGGTATCAGCAGCAGAGGCTGCAGAAGATAGAATATTGCTGAACAGCAAGTGTTGCTGTCTGATTCTTGCTCTGGAAGCTTCGTCTCAGAGCGGTACCCAGCTGTGTGAGGTGTGAAGTGTCGGTCTGCACCTAGTGGGGGATGTCTCCCATTTAGGCTACTCAGGGTTCAGGGACCCACTTGAATAGGCAGTCTGTCTGTTCTCAGATTTCAGCCTCTGTGCTGGGAGGACCACTGCTCTCTTCAAAGCTCAGTTGAAAATACAGAAATCACCAGTCTTCTGTGTTGCTCGTGCTGAGAGCTGGAGGCTGGAGCTGTTCTATTCGGCCATCTTGGGCGCCCCCTCCTGGCGTTCTTATACTTCTCTGATATTATGGACACACTTGTTGGGTTTTTCAATGAGATATGCTTTAATGGAGTAGATTATATATTTTTTAGATTAGAATTTCAGCTTAAGAAAACTGGTGATGTGTTATATCAAACCTAAGGGAAGTACAAACCCAGGAAATTATTAGGGGTGTGTTTAATACCCATTGCTGAGTTAGTCTCACAATAAATAATGATTACATACAATGTACATGGTACTGTACTATGTACAATGGTAGTTACAAATAAGATCAAGATGGTTCTACCTTCAAGATAACTTAAAATAACATACATTAACTGAAAACATATAAATTTTCGCCTAAATCATGAGTGCCTCTTATTTGACATAGAACCATTGCTTTTTGTTAGAGTGCAGTCCCCTGTTTGGACTTCTAGAATGTCTTTTTTGCTTAAACCATACCTAGAATGAATAGTGTGATTAAGTTTCTCTAGCCAGGTGCAGTGGCGCATGCCTTTAATCTCAGCACTTTGGGAGCCCGAGTCAGGTGAATCACCTGAGGTTGGAAGTTTGTGACCAGCCTGACCAACATGGAGAAACCCCATCTCTACTAAAAATACAAAATTAACTGGGAGTGGTGGTGCATTCCTGTAATCCCAGCTACTCAGGAGGCTGAGGCAAGAGAATTGCTTGAACCCAGGAGGCGGAGGTTGCAGTGAGCCAATATTGCACCACTGCACTCCAGCCTGGGCAACAAGAGCGAAACTCTGTCTCAAAAAAAGGAAAAAAAAAAGTTTCTCTAAACTTGACAGAATGCTTAAAGGTACTTACGAAGAACTATGAATGAAAAGGGCTCTACTAGCTCAGTTCTGTTCAATGTGTGGTCCACACATTGGTGCTCACCCACAGATTAGTGGTTAATGACAGCTAAGTATAGAAATTGAGAGTAAGTGTTTGGAAATGGATATAGCAATTTAACATTGCTGTAAATCCAAGCATATGGTCAGGAAGCTAATGCAGAAGAGAGTATATAGATCAGTTTGGGTGCTGCTGAAATCTGATGTGTGAGCTCCATATGAATCGTGTGCAATACAGCCGTAGCGATCTGCAAACAATTAGATGTTTAAGACAGGGAGGATTCCCTCCTTCTCAGTACTGCACTTGACTAGTCTTAAAAATAAAAAATTAAGAAAAAAGGGAGGAGAGGTTTTTCATTACAGATAGTTTGAGAAGCACTGTTCTAGAGGGTTGGATAGGTTTTTTTCTCCTGTGTTTTGTTTTTCATTTGCTCACCTATAATTAAATAGTACTTAATTTTGAGTGACTTGCCTTTGATTTTCTTTCAGAGCATTTGTTTAGCTTAGTGTCCTTAGGCACAATGGTTCCCTTTATGCGGTCATATTTATTTACTTAGTATAATATTTAATTAAAATATGTAATTATAATAGCAAGTACAACTGACATAAATTGATCTGGCAGCAAATACAACTGACTCTTGATGACTATTCAACTCAGTTGCTGAGAGAAAAGGCATGCAGGCCCCCCCAGAGAGGAGCCTGCCAAGCCATAGGCGTTAGTGTGTTGTACAGAGGGAATGGAGCTGGCTACATGGAGGATGACTGTGACATCTTCTGCTATACATTAGTATAACAGTAATTCGTAGTCAGGTACTTTTTTGTCTCCTGAAATATGTAAATGTAGTGGTTCAGAAAATAAAGAAATACTGAGGCTTGCAGTCCTCACAGACAACTTCCCAAAAGAGGTAGCACTTGGTTTGGCAGGATTTGGGGTGTTGGCATGGGATTCCCAGGCCAGGTGATTGGCATAAACAAAGGTACTGCAGTATGATAGCATATAGTTGAATATATTTTGTCTTTGTCATTTTTTACTCTAGAATGGGCTTTAGGGATGAAGCAGCTGGGTATTTTCATAAAGCAGTGAAGCTAAACCCTGATTTCAGTGATGCAAAGGAGAATTTTTATCGTGTTGCAAACTGGTTGGTGGAACGCTGGCACTTTATCATGCTTAATGACACCAAGAGGAATACGATTTATAATGCAGCAATCCAGAAGGCAGTTTGTTTGGGGTCCAGAAGTGTTTTGGACATTGGAGCAGGAACTGGAATACTAAGGTTGGTAGTAATTGCATTTTGATGATATATACATGTATTCTAATGTAAATTAAAGATTTTGGCAGATATAGAAAATTTAACATTGGAATTTAAAAGTATTATAATCTTATTAGGGTTATTTATGTAACTATTATGTTTTTTACTATAACTTTTATCAAGAACTGGACATAACTGCTAAGAAAAATTTGGGATTATTGACATTTTGAATAATGAATTTAAGAGTCTTTTTTATGTTAACATTCTGGTGGAATCTAGTTGCCTAAGTTAAAGCCCGTTAGTATTCATTAAAGATATAATGCCAGTTGTGTCTTAATAGAGTAGATCCCATGTTTTATTGTATGATTTGTTTCTAGACAAGAATATTAGTTTATTTTTTAATGCAGAATGAGTAATGATTGTGTTAAAGAATAAAAGGAAAAACCCACATTTTAGCATCATCATTTCCTTAAAATTTGAGAAAATACAGTAGATTGTCTTTTCTTGATGGAGCACTTTTTTCCGTTGTAGCATGTTTGCTAAAAAAGCTGGAGCACATTCCGTGTATGCTTGTGAGTTATCCAAGACCATGTATGAACTTGCCTGTGATGTCGTGGCAGCAAACAAGATGGAAGCAGGGATCAAACTCTTACATATGAAGTCACTTGACATAGAGATTCCAAAACATATTCCTGAAAGGTATTATCATGTAAACTAATTTTACTGTTTATACTTCTCTATTTTTAAAAAACTAAGATATATTTCTAGCTTTTAGTCCAAACAAAATGCTACAAAACCCTTATTTTGTAAAGATACGGATGTAGGATAGAATAGTTTACTATAAGACATATTTAAATAAAATTATATTCTTTATTAAAAATATTTAAAGATCTTGTGAAAAATTTGTGGCAAGGGATCAAATAAACTTGATCTTAGCAAGTTACTTTACCTTTGTTAATTTCAGTGTTCTCATTTGTAAAAACGGATAATCCTGTGTGGTCAATAACTACTTAAAAGTTGTATTTAAAAAGAAATCATAAGCAGTTCAGATTCAATGGACTTATCACATTTTGTGTTAATATATTTGTTTAAAATGAAAGCTTTGGAAATGTCAGCTGTCAGTATATTTTGGCCTGGGTCCTTTAAATGATTTGAATATAAGTAATATAAGTCTTGGCTTTTCAGTATGTTTTCTCACTGTGATCTATATCACAAGGGTGATGGAATTTTAGAGCTGGAAGAAATTTGAAAATGATCTGGTTCCACACTAGTCACTTTAGAGACAAAGTTTTCTTTATGTAGCACTTACTTTGCCTATCTCTTCTGGGTTTATCTTCCAATCTTACTTCAATTCAGTTTGTATTGAAAGAAGATATTTTTGTGCCTTATATGAACTATGACTTTAAAAAGTCTTCTTCCATGTATATATAATAGTATTTATGTTAACATAGTACCTACAGTTTTCAATGGTCTCTACATTTATTCTCATGAAAAAATTCCTGTTAGATTAAGGCAAATGTCATACCCATTTTATAGGAAAAAGCACTTTCCTCAGTTGTCTTGTTCCACTTGGACTGCCATAACGAAGTACCACAGACTGGGTAGCTTTAACAATAGGCATTTATTTTCTCACAGTTCTGGAGACTGGAAGATCATGATCAAGGTGCTGGCTAGTTTGGTTTCTTGTGAGGATTCTCTTCCTGGATTGCAGATGCTGCTTTCTCGTTGTGTCTTTACACAGCCTTTCCTTCTTCAATACAGTTAGTTTTGGGCTTAAGGGCTTCAACATGAATTTTGAGCGGGACATGAGTCGGCATGAATCAAAGTTACCTTAATTTAATCATTTTTCTCATAGATAATGTTGTAGAAAGATCTGTTGGTTTTGAACCAGGAGCTGTGGATTCCAGATTAGAATATTATTAATTTATTTTGACCTTAAGCAAATGTCTAGACCTCAAGGTATTAGACTAGATGATTTGAAACACCTTTCACATTCTAAGTGTAGGCAATCGTAAATACTGGGTATTTTCTGTATATAAGATGTTGGGTCTAGGCACTGTGGAGGATACCAAAGTCATTCTTACCCTTGAGGCACTTACAGTCTAGATAGAAAGATAAAGAATATTCATGAAACTTTTCTTATCTTATAGCTACATAAATGTGTGGTACTGGCAATAAATGCTGAAGGAGTTCAGAGAAGGGAGAAAATATTTTCGTATGTCTTTGAGTAAAATTTTCTAGAAAGAAAGCATGGACAGAAGAGCAGAGTTCTGTGGACTAGGCTTTTTCTAAGACTCAGGCAGTGGGTAAAGCAAAAGAAGTGATAAGAGAGGCACAGTCAACATGTAGGAGGCAAACACGGGTGATGCAGTGTCATAAAAGGTAGAGATAGATTTTGAGAGGGAGGGCTCTCTCCTGCAATCAGTGTTATTTGGAGATCAAAAAAATGATAACTGAGAACGAGGATTCATTTTGGTAAGTAGGGAGTTATTGATGGTAGATAATATTTTTATAGACTGTTGGAGATGGAAGTCTTCTTACTTGGCATTAAGGAAGAGACTGGTAAAGGTAAAGGGTATGAACCACTCTTAAAGATGTAGGCAATGAAAAAATAACCTGGAGATGGAACAAGGCCAAGCGAAGGTTGTCATTCCCCACCTCCCCCCGCCCTCCATCTTCCAAACCAAGAAGAGGGAGCCAGTGGAGAACAAAGGAGCTTAAGTAGCATTCGAGTAAAGTTCCTCAAGATTCAGTAGTATATCTTAAAAGTATTAGGACATTTTACATATGAATTGTTTCTATAATATACTCTTCCTTTCTCCTCTCAGCTTTGACATCTTTATATAATAGCATGATATTTTACTTACATATATCTTTAAAAAATCATTCTATAGAGTGTCCCTAGTTGTAACAGAAACTGTCGATGCAGGTTTATTTGGAGAAGGAATTGTGGAGAGTTTGATTCATGCATGGGAGCATTTACTTTTACAGCCAAAGGTAAGCAGTATGAAAATACTTAAAACTGATTAAGAATTCATTATTTCATCAGAGATTTATTGAATCCTTAGTATATTTACAAAGCAATATGAAATACATTTTCCTTTGCCAAGGTGTACATACTGTGTGGTTGGAAAGAAATCTATGCAAAAAACATTTACTGGCTGGGCCTGGTGGCTCAAGCCTGTAATCCTAGCACTTTGGGAGGCCAAGGTGGGTGGATCACCTGAGGTCGGGAGTTCGAGACCAGCCTTACCAACATGGAGAAACCCCATCTCTACTAAAAATACAAAATACAAAATTAGCCAGGTGTGGTGGCACATGCCTGTAATCCCAGCTACTTGGGAGGCTGAGGCAGGAGAATCGCTTGAACCTGGGAGGCGGAGGTTGCATTGAGTCGAGATTGTACCTTTGCACTCCACCCTGGGCAACAAGAGCGAAACTCCGTTTCAAACAAAACAAAACAAAAACATTTACTAACAACATGATTCAATGTATAATTATGTGCCTGAATGAAATATACAGGCAAAAATACTCCAGGGAATAATTCTTAGGAATTTAGATTACTTTATGGAGGGACTGACTATGGAATTCTTGAGTAGGGTTGAAAAACGGAGATACTTTAAGTCTTACAGACCTCACTGCCTAGAATTTTGGCAAATTATCAGAAGGGAGTATAGTAATAGCTGGTTTGGTACTGTTTTCAGGTGCCTTTTGAACCCAGGCTATGGATTGAACAGGACTAACTCATATAATTGCCAAATTATATTTTGCATTGAAATCCTCTATTATAGCCCACAAATCATTGATTTGGTTCATATGATATGTGGTATCAATGAAAGGATTTTAATATGTAATAAAAATTCAATATTAACAGAAAATGATTTGGATTTAAAATTGCTAAAGGTTGAAAACAGCAATTTTTTTTTTGAAGTAGTGACAGGGTTTCACCATGTTGGCCTGGTTGGTCTTAAACTCCTGGCCTCAAGTGATCCACCTGCCTTGGTCTCCCAAAGTGCTGGGATTGCAGGTGTGAGCCACTGCTCCTGGCCAAGCAATTTATTTTTTAAGTAGGTAATGATATTGATTTATTGATCAAAGTCATACCCAAGTCTTTTTTTTCTATGCAGACTTACAGTCTTTACCCCTCCTATCCTCCCTCTTTTCTTGTGTCCTTTGCATTTGTATTGTGAGAAAAAAAAAATATATATACACACATACATATATAGCAATGAAAATACTTATTCTGTTTTTTTGAGATGGGGTCTCAATCTCTTGCCCAGGTTGGAGCTCAGTGGCACGTTTTTTAGCTGACTGCAACTTGGAACTCCTGGGCTCAAGTGGCCCTCCCATCTCAGCCTCCCAATGTCACCACACTTGGCTAACAAAAAAAAAAAAATTTCTGTAGAGACAGGGTCTTGCTATGTTGCCTAGGCTGGTCTCAAACCCCTGGCCTCAAGTGGTCCTCTCTCCTTGGCCTTCCAAAGTGCTAGAATTGCAGGTGTCAGCTGCTAGGCCCAGCCAAAAATACTTTTTAAAAAAAATTTTTTGAACAGAGTCTCGCTCTGTTGCCCAGGCTGGAGTGCAATGGTGTGATCTCAGCTCACTGCAGCCTCTGCCTCCCAGGTTCAAGTGATTCTCCTGCCTCAGCCTCCCAAGTAGCTGGGACTACAGGTGCATGCCATCACGCCCAGCTAATTTTTTGTGTTTTTAGTAGAAATGGGGTTTCACCGTGTTAGTCAGGATGGTCTCGATCTCCTGACCTCGTGATCCACCTGCCTTGGCCTCCCAAAATGCTGGGATTACAGGTGTGAGCCACCATGCCCAACCCAAAAATATTTTTTAAGGAAGAAAAAAAATTTTTAACTTACTTTATTCTTATTGTCTTTTTAGGTTTTTTATATTTTCATAGCTTATTATGCACACAAATTTTTAATACATGTGATAACGTAATTTTTATTGTTATTTTTTTTTAGACCAAAGGTGAAAGTTGTAATTGTGAAAAGTATGGGAAAGTTATACCAGCAAGTGCTGTTATATTTGGGATGGCAGTAGAATGTGCAGAGATAAGAAGACAGCATAGGTAAGTGTATTAGTCCATTTTCACATTGCTGTAAAGAACCTCCCAAGACTGGGTAATTTATAAAGGAAAGAGTTTCATTCAAATGACTTACAGTTCTGAATGTTGAGGAGGCCTCAGGAAACTTACAAACATAGCAGAAGGGGAAGCAGGTACGTCTTACATGGCAGCAGGCAGGTGAGGAGGGGGGCGGGGGGCGCAGAGAGAGAGAGCGCAAGACCACGTGGGTGAGTGTAGGAAAAACTACCATTTGTAAAACCATCAGCTCTTGTGAGAATTCACTCCCTATCATGAGAACAGCATGGAAGAAACCGTTCTCATAATCTAGTCAATTCCCTTCCCTCAACATATGGGGATTACAATTTGAGATGAGATTTGGGTGGGGACACGGAGTCAAACCATATCAGTAAGTGACTATTTAAATAGTAAATATTGAAAAATAATAATTGTAAAGAGAATATTGCAGAGATAAGTTAGTGAATATGTATTTGGGTGAGGATTTGTAGTTTTGTGACCTTTAAATTCATGCTGCTTACACTGGTTTTATTCTTTTTTTTTTTTTTTTTTGCCTATTTTAAATGAAACTTCATGGTTAAAGCCAGTTCTTTTTTTAATGGAGAATTAATTTTGATACAACTTAGTACTCTTTAGTTGTTATGGATTCATGTAGAAAAATACTAAGTTCTGACTGATTTTAGGTGAAGTTGGAATGAAAGATTCCACAGTGAAAATAAATTTTGGTCTTAATTACTTCAATTTCCCTTTTCTTAAAAATTTCACTAATACTATAATGATTTGTAGTTGGGCTGGATGGAATTTTAGGATCTTTCTAAGCTTCTACCAATAACTTAATCGTAAATGTAGCATATAAATATTTTAGGACATACTGATAAGTGGTTTGAAAAAAATGAAAACCACTGTGAACCCCTCACCAGTAAGTAACTACTTTTCATCTTTGTTACATATTCCTTTACTCTTTTTCTTTGTATGTTAGTAACAGGCAGATAGTAAAAATGTTTAGAGATTGGTAGGACACAGGGCACTAACCAGACAGTGGACTTAATTAGCAGATTGGCTGAATTAGAATGTACTGGTTGAATATTAGTTCTATGTAAGTAAATGTATGTGTGTGTAAATTTAATTTTGTTTAAAAACTCAGTAAATATATTTGCTTTTCCTTTGTGAGCCTTTTCACGTAATAGATTTCGTTCATGACTTTAAAAAATCAACTTCTTCGTGTTGTAGTTATTGGAGTTTAGAATTTTTGGATTGCTTCCACTTTTCTGCTTTTAAGAAGTAGGATAAGCATCTTTGTACTTATGTCTTTGTGGATTTGTTTCTTTTATTTTCTTAGGATAAATTCCTTAATAAGGAATTACTGAGTTAAAGAATATGTACAGTTTTCAGGCTGAAGGGATGCCTTACTGCATTGCCCACCAGAAAAGCTAGGTTGTGTCTTGCTGAGATTTCTTGCTGTAACATGACTGGACTCCTTCCCTCAATAGTTCCTCTTTAGGAGACCACTAATATTGTTTGCCTAAGCAAAGTAGAAATTAAATGGCTGGTATCTACATTTTGCAAAAGAATAACTTCATTATTGACTTATTTATTTAGCAAATGAGTGCCTGACTACAGTAGAAGCGCTATAGGAGCTTTTGTAAAAGTAAAAAGGGTGTACAGTTTGGTTGAGTAGGTGTAGGTCTGGATGAATGAGGCCAATATCTTTTTTTTTTTTTTAAACAAAGTTCAGCAGTATGGGTTGAGGACTATGAAGAAAGGTATTGACAAAATATATGTGAGTGCTACTGTTTTAACTGGTGGAAACATTTATAAATCATTATTATAAAAATTGCCATTTGGCACCTAATCTGCTGAATTTAATGCTCATCTCAATAAGCAAATGTTTAAGAATATCCAAGAAAAATATCCAAGAAAACTTACCTTATTAGATATAAAAACCTAGAAATAAAAAACAGTAATGTATTGATGCAGAAAGACAAATACATCAGTGGAGCACAATAAAGAATCTAGATACAGACCTTTGAATTTATATGGATTTAGTATATGATATAGGTATGATATTTCAGATCAGTGGGGAAGGGATAAACTATTCAGGAAATGGAAATGGTGTGCTTCATTTGGGGAAAAAAGTTAGATCCCTGCTTTTAATTCTGGGTGAGTTAAACATTTGAATGTCAAAAAATCTATTTAATGGAGACATTCCAAAGCAAAACACAGAGTAGGGCCCAGAAGCCACAGAACATTGACACATGTGACCACATTTTTGGTTTTTTTAATTAATTAATTATTTATTTATTTATTTATTTATTTATTTATTTAGATGGAGTCTTGCTCTGTTGCCCAGGCTGGAGTGCAGTGGTGCAGTCTCTGCTCACTGCAAGCTCTGCCTCCCGGTTTCATGCCATTCTCCTGCGTCAGCCTCCCAAGTAGCTGGGACTACAGGCACCTGCTGCCATGCCCGGCTAATTTTTTTGTATTTTTAGTAGAGACCGCGTTTCACTGTGTTAGCCAGGATGGTCTTGATCTCCTGACCTCATGATCCGCCCGCCTAGGCCTCCCAAAGTGCTGGGATTACAGGTGTGAGCCACCGCGTCCGGCCTAATGTGACCACATTTTCAAACCATTGAAAAAAATCTCTCTGGTGAAGGATACCATAAAGTTAAAAGACAAGCGACAGACTGAGATGAATATTTGCAACTTTTACAACAAAGCATGAATATAATTGTCTATTAATCAGAGAAATGGAAATTAAAACCAATGGGATAACATTTTCTAACTACTTATGTTAGCACATTAAAGTTGTTTGATATCTTATTTTTTCATAGGTTTAGGGAAAATTTATACACTGTTGGTGCAACATTTTAGTAGCTTGATTTGGCGTTTTCTAGCAACACTAAAGATGTTTGTAGTCCTTGATCTAGCATTTCTGTGTCTGGAAATCTACCCTGATAAATACTCATACATGTGTGCAGTGATGTTTGTACAAGGATATTCACTGTAATATTGTAATTGGAAAAATTAAATTATCTGAAGGTTTATATTAATAAGAAAGTATTTCAATAAATTATGATGTAACAGTCACCTAATGCAGTGTTATGCAAAAAAATGGTTAGGGTACATGTATAGACAGGAAACAAGTTTATGGTATACTGTTAAGTGAGAAAGACAAGGCATAATCTTAGGAGCAGTGAGCATACCTAGAACCCAGATCTTGGTTTTTAAATACCATTTCTCACCAGAAGGAACTATAGCTTCTTGGAGCAATGGCTGATTCTAGTACTGGGGCAGAATAGATTCAAGATAATTCTGGGGCATCTTGTATTAGAAAGTGAGGAAGTGCTCAAAAAGGGATTTGGTGGGGGAAAGGGGAGCAAAAGGACACAGCAGCATGCTTGAAGACGCTCCCACTGGCCAAACCTGGGACAATTTAATCACCAAAATAAATAAGGGTCCTAATGTTAAAACCCACTGAATAAGAATCCATGAATTTCTATGTATCTTAAGCAGATTAATAAATACATAAATAGGGATAAAAGTACAGCTCGTCCTTACAGTCAATGCCGATTAATATTATAGAAAAAAATGAGGCAGAATTACTTTTTGGGAGGCAAGAATCATGAATAGATGCTAAATCAATGGAGGGAAATCTGATGAGGATCAGGGCATTTATATAGTTTCAAAGTATCTCAAATTATTGCAGAAGGGAAGATTTTAAGTATATAGGGCTGAAGCCACACAGCATCTTTTTTGTTGTTGTTGTTGTTTTTGAGACCGAGTTTCACTCTGTTGCCCAGGCTGGAGTGCAGTGGTGTGATCTTGGCTCACTGCAAACTCTGCCTCCCAGGTTCAAGTGATTTTCCTGCCTCAGCCTCCCGAGTAGCTGGGATTACAGGCGTGCCCGCCACCATGCCCGGCTGATTTTTTGGTATTTTTTTTTAGTAGAGAGTAGTTTCATCATGTTGCCCAGGCTGGTCTCGAATTCCCGACCTCAGGTGATCCACTTGCCTTGGCCTCCCAAAGTGCTGGGATTATAGGCATGAGCCACCGTGCCCGGCCTGTTTTTTTTTTTTTTTTTAAATTAAATCAAATTAAATTTTACTTTAAGTTCTGGGATACATGTGTAGAACGTGCAGGTTTGTTACATATGTATATATGTGCCATGGTGATTTGCTGCACCTATCAACCCATCATCTAGGTTTTAAGCCCCGCATGCATTAGGTATTTGTCCTAATGCTCTCCTTCCCCTTGCCCCTAGTCCCCCGGCAGGCCCATGTGACCACACATCATCTTAACCAGGTGATTAAAGCTAACATCAACAGGAAGGTTCCTCCAGATTCGGTGCTTTAAGGGTGCATTGCTTATATAGTACCACATCCAAAATGTGCAGCCTGCAATCTAATTGTGAGAAAGCCTCAGACAAACTCAAGTTGGGACCATTCTGTAAAACAATTGGCCTACCTTAAAAAATGTCAGTGACATGAGGGACAAAGCAAAGATGAAGAACTGTTTCAGATGAAAGGAGATTAAAGAGACAGGACAGCTAAATTGAAACTATGAACTGTATTGGGAAGAAAACGATATGTGTATATATATGTGTGTGTGTGTATATGTGTATATATATATAGAGAGAGAGAGAGAGAAAGAGCGAGAAAGAGATGAGATCTTGCTGTGTTGCCCTGGTTGGAGTGCAGTGGCTCAATCATAGCTCACTGCAGTCTTGACCTCCCAAGCTCAAGTGATCCTCTCACTCAGCCTCCTGAGGAGCTGCAACCACAGGTGTGCACCACCATGTCTGGTTAATTTTTTAAAGTTTTTATAGAGACAGGGTCTTGCTGTGTTGCCCACGCTGGTCTTGAACTCCTGGACTCAAGGGATCCTTCTGCCTTAGCCTCCTAAAGTGCTTGGATTACAGGCATGAGCCACTGTGCCCTGCTTGCATTATTGATTTTTGATTCAGTTGACAAATACAGAATATGAACTGTAGGTTAGATAATACTGAATGTAATTGCTGTGATTAAGAGAATATTCTCATTTTTAATAAAGATACACTGAAGTATCTTTTGAGAAATAAACAGGCATGATGAATACAACCGACTCTCAAATGGTACAGAATGTTTCAGTAACCTACAAATAGAGCGTTATACACAAATATTAAAAAAAGGTATGGAAGGATACACATTAAACTATTAACAGTGAAGAAATGAGAGGACGAGTACTATGAAGATGGACTTTTTACCATATTGCTTGAAGTTTTGACAATATATATTCACGTAGTTTATATTACATTAGAAAGAAATTGTCTGGCCGGGTGCAGTGACTCACGCCTGTAATACCAGCACTTTGGGAGGCCAAGGTGGGCGGATCGCGTGAGCTCAGGAGTTTGAGACCAGCCTGGGCAACATGGCGAAACCTGTCTCTGTAAAAAATACAAAAATTAGCCGGGCGTGGTGGCATGGACCTGTAGTCCCAGCTACTCAGGAAGTGGAGGTAGAATTGCTTGAGCCTGGTAGATGGAGGTTGCAGTGAGCCAAGATCACACCTTTGTACTCCAGCCTGGGTGACAGCGTGAGACCTTGTCTCACACACAAAAAAATTGTCACATATTTTTTGTTTCAACTTGTGACTTTTAATTTTGAGTTATTAAAATCATTAGTTCCATTTGCTGATTCATCTTTTGAGAGTGTAATAAAATAATCTGTAGAAGTAGATTATTTGAACTTTTGAAATTTTATAAAGGCAAATTCGCTAAAAAAAAAAAATGCCATTGAGTTGAGGTGAGATGAGGTTGGAGTATTTCCTTTTAAAAATGTTTAAATTTTTATAAAGTGTTTTTTCATTGTAAATTTTCTTTTTTCTTTTTTTGTTTTTTGAGACAGGGTCTTGCTCTGTTGCCCAGGCTGGAGTGCAGTGATGTGATCATAGCTCATTGCAGCCTTGAACTCCTAGGCTCAAGTGATCCTCCTGCCTCAACCTCCCAAGTAACTAGGACTCTAGGCACACACCACCATACCTGGCTATTTTATTTTATTCTATCTTATTTTATCTAGAAGAATATTGCTATGTTGTCCATGCTGGTCTCTTAACTCCTGGGCTCAAGTGATCCTCCCACTTTGGCCTCCCAAAGTGCTGGGATTACAGGTGTAAGCCACCATGCGTGGTCCAATGTAAATTTTTATTGACATCAAACATTTTTATAGCAAGTATGTGAGCCATAAGTTTATGATTTGATGAATTTTCATGAAGTTGATAGGCCTGGGTAATCAGTGCTGAGATCAAGGACCAGAATATTACCGCTATATAATATAAAGTGTGCAGGAAGAAACCCCTTCTCTTTACCAGCACCCCACTCTCCCTAGAGCACCTACTATCCAGACTTCTAACGCCATAGATTAGTGTTGCTTGTTTTGAATTCTATACAAATAGAACCATACAGTGTGATTTGTTTTTGTGTGCCTAGCTTCTTTTGTGTTTAGTTTGTTTATTCTCATTGCTGAATCATAGTCCATTATATGACTATACTAGATTTGTCTGTTATACTACTGATAGATGTTTAGGTTATATCAGTTTTCTTGGCTATCAGAAGCAGTGCAGCTATAAACATTCTTGAACATTCTTTTGGTGATAATATGTATTAATTTCTGTTGACTATATTCTTAGAAGTAGAAATGCCAAACACTGTGAAACGCGTCCTACATTAAGAATGAATCTGAATAGGTATGTTCAGCTCGAGTTGGCACTACAAAGTAGTCTTCCAAAGTGATCTTACTAATTTGATACTCCAATGGTGTATGAGACTGTATCCTTACCATACTTGGTATTGACTACTTGTTTTTTTCCATTCCGTCAGATGTGTAGTATGCATTGTGATTTTAACTCCATTTCCAGGGTGGCTGTTGAAGCCGAGCACCTTTTCATGTGCTCATTGGCCATTTGGATATGTTCTTTCGTGAAGTGTCTAAGTCTTTTGCCCATTTTTGTTTTTTATTAATATGCAGGAATTTAAAAATATATTTTGGATATGAGCCCTTTACTGAATATAGTTATTACAAATATCTTCTCTCAGTGGCTTGCCTTTTACTTTCTTACAGGTTGTTTTTTTTTTTTTTTAATGAGCAGACATTCTTAATATTATTATAGACCTATTTATAGTTGTTTTCCTTTATAGTTAGTGGTTGTATATGTGTGTGTGTATGTAGTTATGCTTAAGAAATCTTTGCTCATGCGGTTTTATTTCATTTTTGTGTTTATTTTTTCTGGACTCAATATTGGATATGTTACTTGATTCTAAAAAAATCCATCTTCCTCCCCCTCCCCTATTTTGTGTCTCTCCAGAGTGAGTATTAAGGACATTGCTGGTATCCATTTGCCAACAAATGTGAAATTTCAGAGTCCGGCTTACTCTTCTGTAGATACTGAAGAAACAGTTGAACCTTATACAACTGAGAAGATGAGTCGAGTTCCTGGAGGATATTTGGCTTTGACAGAGTGCTTTGAAATTATGACAGTAGACTTCAACAACCTTCAGGTGAAAAAAAATTCAGTTACTATTTTCAAGCATTAAATTTCATGCATTGTTTAAAATAATATATAGGACAGACAGTCTTATTTTATGAGTTTGCATGAAGATTCCACTTATTGTATGTAAAGAAAATGATTAAAGGGTAATTAGAATTTCTTCCTGAAATTATTTGCTTGCTTGCTTTCCTTGCTTTCTTTTCTTTTCTTTCTTTTTTTCTTTGACAGTGTCTTGCTGTCACCCAGGCTAGAGTGCCACTATGCCCAGCCCACTTATTTAAATACAAAGAAAACCCCCCCTAAGATTGTTGGGAATGTATAGGGTGCCAGGTGCTTTCACTTGTGTTATTAGGCAGCTCTTATGACATACTGCCATACAATTATAATTATCCTTGTGTTACGCAGAGGAGGAAATTGTTGCTTACATTAAATAATTCCCACCCAAATTATTCAGCATGTGAATACAGGGGCAGGAATTCTAACCTAGGTCTTTCTGACTTTTCTCTGTATCATGCTGCCATTTCAAATTAACAAAATGAACAATAATCCAAATCTCTAGGTTGTATGTATATTATGGTGACCAGCCTTTATGGTTTGCCCAGGACTGAAGAGGGTTCCGAGACTTGAGACTTTCTGTTTTGAAACCAAGATAGTCCTAGGAAAAGCAAGAGAAGCTGATCACCCTAGTGTGTATGTGTGTGTGTTGGTGAATGGTGTGAGGATGTTCTGTATAAAGAAAGTGCCCAGCTGGGCACAGTGGCTCACGCCTGTAATCCCAGCACTTTGGAAAGCTGAGGCGGGTGGATTACCTGAGGTCAGAAGTTCAGGACCAGCCTAGCCAACATGGTGAAACCCTGTCTCTACTAAAAAAATAGAAAAAAATTAGCCGGGTGTGGTGGCGGGTGCCTGTAAACCCAGCTATGCGGGAGGCTGAGACAGGAGAATTGCTTGAACCTGGGAGGCAGAGATTGCGTGAGCCAAGATTGCGCCATTGCACTCCAGCCTGAGCAACAAGAGCGAAACTCCGTCTCAAAAAAAAAAAAAAAAAAAAAAAGGTG